AAAAAAAAATTTTTTTTGGCCAGTTTGCGATATTTTGCCGATTTTGTTATTCGGCTGTTGCCTTTGTTGATGATAATTTTTCAAGGACGACAGGTATTCGTAAAAATTGTTGCCGATGACATTTTTCTGCTAATGATAAAGGGAAATTTTTTTAATTGGTAATAAATTAGACGTCATAGAGGTGACAGGAGGTTACCAAATAAGAGTTATAACGTAGTAGCAGCTAAAAAAAAAAAGGGCGAAACGTTTAATTACAGAAGCTTCTTTACAGTTAGTTTTTTTTTAACCTTTTTTTATTTTTTTTTACTGTTATTAGTTTTTGTACGCAATAAAAAGTTGTTCAAAGATTATTGATTAACTGACTTTTGTGCTTAGTTGACTTTCGTACCCTCTTTTTGCTTTTTCAGGAAACTAACTTTTATGTTTCTTTATTTCGATTAGTTCTATTCGGAACGGTTATTTAAATTGAAGATAACAGCATTGGAATTATTTCTTATGGTTGTTGTTCTGCAAACACCGGTTTCTTTTATCTAGATAAAAATTTTTTTATTAATTATTTGTAAATCACTGACATAAGATAGTATTAGTTGAAAAGTTTGTTTTAGTTTTTTTAGACTTTAGAATGAACTCAACTGCACCCATAGTCTAGACTTCCGAATAGTTTTTCTTGTGTTCTTTTGGCTTCTAGACGTAACGATTTCAAACTTTTTAAAGTGACCTAGTTCTTCAGACATTTTTCAGTTTAATATGTTTTTCTGAAGTATCTACAGCAATTTTTTTTTTTTTGGTAATTGTATTAGTGACCAAAAACAGGAAATTGGCGGGGTATAATAAGTCATGTGAGTGCAGTAGAAAAAAAATAAATCTTCTTAGCCACTGTAGCACTGAATTCTGTGGTCAGTGGTTACCGCTATTCAAAATTCAAAAATTTCTTAACGGAACTCTATCATTTTTTGTTATCTGACGATCAATCTTCAAGAGGAAGAAGGTTAAAATTGGGTGTTAAAGAGACGGAGAAAAGAAGAAGAAGAAAAAAAACAAAGGGATTAGAGGAAGTCTGTTGTGTAGCAAATGCGGTAAATTATTTCATCCTTAGTTAATTTAGTCAATAATGGTGCTATCAAGAATTTCCGTTAATTTTAATAGAAAAAAAAAGTTTAACAAGTTTTACGGCAGAGTTGACAAATTTTGTTGGCATTCGGAGAAAATATCTTTTCCTGCATTAATTTATACGAGTTTTGGAAACTGAAGAAGAAGGCATCAATAAAGGAGAAGAAAAAGGTTGTTTAGATGTGAACAAAATATAAACGTTGAAAAACTTAGTATTTTGAGAAGACAGCAACAGCAGTGACGACGATAGCGAAAACAACAGTAACAACACGTACATTTATTTAAAACGTCTCTGTCATGTTACTATTAATACTTTTCTGTTTTGATTTTCAGAACTTTCTGTTCTTTCAGCGATCAAGAGAGTGTTCGCCTCGCTCAAATTTGGCAATAATATTTTTTCATTTTTGCTGAGGACTTGAAGACATTGCAATTGAAAACTGGTTGCCAAAACTCTCACTCTTTCAATTTGAATCAACCGGCTACAAAACTTTGATGTCTATGCTCATATTTTCACTATTTGTATTTTTTCTTCTTACATCTTGCTCCCCTCACGTTTTAGGCCTGGGAGTTTAGTTTTATACATATTGAAAACATTTCGTAAGTGGCTTTCAGGGAATCATAACGATTTAGAGTCGAAGGAAACAAGAAGGAAGTTGAGAAGTAGGAAAAATAATGAAGTGCAGTAAAATATGGAAGAATACGTCGGTAGGGAAGAGAAGAGCAAAATACTGCCTTAGTTCTGATCTGATTCATGAAGTCGTCTGGCCAACTAACTACAGTTGAAAATTATTAGGGGTAGGTGTGCCATCGGTGAAAGGCGTTAAGATAACATTATGTTTGCGATTTTTTCCTCTTTTTTTTATCCATCCTGCAAACCAGAGGATTGCACGATGAAAACATAATAAATAGATTTAGAACTAATGATAAGTCAGTTGAAATTAGGTGAAAAGAGAATTTTTAGATTTTTTTCACGGCTTTTGTCAGACCATAATTTCAAAAAAAGCGTTACTGGACGTTAATAAGTTGAAATTGGCTGTAAAAACGTTATGGTGTTTTCTACGATGAAGTGGCCGCCAATTTTTGAAACCACTGCGACGGTGAAAAGTTGTTATTTGCCATGTCATCGGGACGAAAAGGTGGATGTGGGCTACCCAAAAATTGACGTTTTTTCCCGACCAAACTTCGCATCTTTGCTGAATTAGAAACAGTCATAAAGCTTTTCTAATTTTTTTTGGAATTTCTTTTCATTTTTCGTAGCATCAAACAATGAAACATTGACAGTTATGTATGCACAAATAAACAGTCATGAATAAGTATTGAAGGAAGTGCATATACGCATAAAAGGAATGTTTGATAATAGGAATTAGACGGATAAATTGTTTTAAAAAAATTACAGGAAAGTTGGAATTATTACTGAAGGTCGTTTGAAAGATGAGAAAGAAAGTATTTTTAAACATTTAAAAGATCTGCTGCATTGTTGCGTTAGTAGGGCATTGTGATGGGGATTTTTTAGGGATGTTGGTTGAACAAAAATCAGGTTATGACCCACAGTGATTTTGGCCGCTTACCTTCAACGTCATACAATAGTGTTGCTTGATATGTACCGCCCGTGACAGGTTCATTTTCAAAACACCGCCAGCAACAGCTTTGCCTCCTCAACTTTCCTGTTCTCCTTATAAAAACAAAAACGCACGTCTGTTTTCTTGTCTCATTGGTTCACATTAGAAAGTCTCTTTTGGGAGCGCAGAAAGTTATGAAATTTTGTTGCTGTTGTTGTTGATGGTGAAAAAAACTAGTCGGTTATTTGCTGGAGATTCCAGTAAAGATTTTAGAAACAGTTTATGCGTTGGAATTTGAAGTTTGTTTGATTGAAGAAGTGAACAACTGCTTAAAATACTGGTTTTTGTCGTTTGAAGGTGAAGAAGAACGGCGGGACGGAAATTGAAAAGGTTTTCTTAGTCTTGACTTATACCTCGTTATTTTAAGCATGACTTTTTAGGACAAGTTGCATTTAAAGTTCACACTTTTTCAACTGCCCTTTATCACAGTTTCTTGAATAATGATTAGTGCAGATACGACAGGAATGCAAAAATTTTAGTTGCGACGCGAACACCGTATTTCTTTGGTTTGTCTGCATTATGTTAGCTGCGTAATTGCGTTTTCAATTCAGAATTATTAAAGTTTGTGAAGCGCAAGCAATGCTGCAAAGTTTTTGGTTTAACAAAACTGGGTTGTTAAAGTCTGATTTTATTAGGTTTTTGTTCAGGAAGATCGGGAGAAGGCTTTGAAGTATTTTATTGCAAAAAATGGAGTGCAATGTAACTGCTTGGGTGATGTTGTTAAAGCAACTGAAAATTATGTGGTCGGAGATCTGGAGAGGCTGTCGCAACGAATTGTCTGTTTTGCTCGTGCTAAAAGTTAGTTCTTCACTTTTTTGAAAAAAATTTTTCTAGTCTAAGGTTGATAGCATGGATTTGGACAGACATTTACATAAACTGTTTTTTTAATTTTATTTTCAGTTTGTTTTTTAGAGCATATTGATAAATGTTTTGTTTTTTTTTTTTAAAATTTTTAAGGTTAAAAAGTAGGCTTATGCATTCAAAGAATAGTCGTTGAACTCACGCTTGGAATTTTGTGTTTCAATATTGTAATGTAACTTTAAATAATATAACTTTTATGTTTAATATTAATATACAAGCTTCTTTAAAATGTTGACTGCTTGGTTTTAGGAAGAAATTGTCTGATTTTTACTCTATTATGTTTCAAAAAACTTCAAGTGAGCATCATGAAAAAGCAATTTGATCATTTATTGCACGTCATAATGTGCAATGCTTAAACTTCTAGTAACTCCAGATAAACTTTTTTTGTTTTACCTTCCCTTGTAAGTAATTTTATTGAAAAAATGTGTACACTGTAAAGTCATTGCTTTCATGAAATGATAATTACAGTAGTTTGAGAAAGCATTTTACTGGATAATTTATTTGAATTATTAACACATTTGGACAGTAAGACTTCCTTCAAACTCTCAGCCTGATTAATTTTTTCAGGAAGAAAAGAAATAGAAAAAGATGATATTGACAAAGTGTTTCGAGATTTTGCACCTGTTTGCTGTAGTCTACGGAAAGTGAAAAATCAATCAAATTTGTCTTGGAACGATGTTGGCGGGATGGAGAAATTGAAAAAAAAATTAGTTGAGATCTTTATTTGGCCGTTAAAGGTTATCCTTTTTTTGTTAATGATACTTTATTGACTTTTTGTAGCTTACTGTTTGTGCTTTACAGTTCTGGCAAATTTTGTAGATATAAGTTTTGTAGAATTTTCAGTACAAGCAGTTGTTCGGTAAATGTCCTGTAAAAACTGGTCGAGGAGTTTTATTGCATGGCCCATCAGGATGTGGAAAAACTTTGGTTTCTAAGGTTCTTGCCTCAGAAAGCTCACTTAACGTTTTTTATGTTAAGGTTGTTTGATTTTTAATTGTATTAATTCACTCGTAATTTTTTTTACAAAACTTTAATTTAAGTAAAAAGCAAAGACTTCATAAAACTAGCTTTTAGAAAACCTGTATGGAAGAGGAAGAAAGATTGGTCAAGTTTTTCTCGCTTTTAAATTTTGATGTCGATTTCTTTCTCACCAATAGGTTTCAATTTAGGGACCTGAGTTACTTTCAAAATATGTCGGAGAAAGTGAGGAAAAAATTCGCAGTATTTTTGAAACGTTCGTTTTCATTCTGTTTTCGATTTCTTCTTGAGTTGTGTTTTAATACCATATAGCTGCCTACTCTTTTGTATATTAAAGCTAGTTAACTAACTTAAACTTAGGGCTGCTTTGTCTCCACCGAGTTTGATTGTGTTTGACGAATTTGATTCGCTGGGTGTTAGACGAGGCCATGATAGCACTGGTGTCACTGATCGCGTCGTCAATCAAATGCTTACGGAACTTGACGGGATTGAAAGACTCAAAGGTTTTTCAGAACACATCTGAGGGAGAATTCTTAAGTCGTTATTACATGCTTCATTTTTACTACAGTTTCAAATTCAGGCATATACGTCATTGCTACGACAAATCGGGCTGACCTTATTGATCTGGCACTCCTAAGACCAGGACGTTTTGATTATATATTAGAATGTTCATTGCCAACTGCAGTATGTTTGATTTGGTTTTTAGAATTAAAAACACGAAAATGCACAAGAAAAATTATATTATTCTACAAAAAGCTTGGCAGATAAGTGCCAAATCCTATTGCTTTGGGAATAAAGTTCCTAAATTTGTTTTATTTTGATCCTCTGCATTGCGGTTTAAACGAAACGAATTTGATTCTTTTTAAGGAGGAGAGAAGGGCAATACTTAAAGTGCTTACTAAAGGTATTAAGGTTCACCAGGACGTGAACTTTTCTTTAGTTGCTGAAAAGACTGTTGGTTGGTCTGGAGCAAGGTTAAAAGGTCTTGTGACGTCAGCCCGCTTTTTAGCCCAATTTCCAGCATCTGAAAACGGTGCGTCAATCATGGATTTTGTAAAAATTGATTTATTTTGGCCTGACGTTATCTACCACTCTACCGTTTGGAGAGTAAGGTACTTACGTCATAAAAATAACCTTGACCACAGCTGTTTAAGATTTAATTAAGAAATAGATAACTCAATTTACGGTATTAGAATCGTGATTGAAAGCTGTTGCAGACGGTTGGGAAACTAGCACTGCTGTTTTACGTTCTGAACACTTTTTTCGTGCGTTGGATAAAGAAAGAGAATTACGGCCAGTTTTGCGATGTACATCAAAGAAAAAAATTGATTCTTTTTGTAACACAAGAGTTACTTTGGCTTAGTGGAAGTATGAACGGTGTTCTCGCTTTATGTTTTGCCCTATGAAAGTCGGAAATGGAGTAGTGCCTTTTGTGGCACATTTTATACGCGGCGTAGAGTAGTTATTTCTTTAAGTGTATCATTATCAATCAAAACATTATGGACATTTGCTATGGGTCATGTTCTCTCATTTATTTTGCTGTCATGTTTCAAATAAGTGTGTTAATAGAAGGCGCAAATTTGTTGTAACCGGTATAATGTTCTGGTTGAATTATTCTTTTGGATTTAAGGAGCTCTTATCTTATTATCAGTTTCTGGAAATACCATGCATTCATACTTCAGTTGTATGGACTTCTGTTGTATTACTTCTGTTCTTTTCTACAAATAGTAAACAGGATTTAAATCTTCTTTTCTTTCTCTTCTTTTTCTCTTACCTAATCTCAGTAGGAAAGGAATGTTTTGAAGAGGTATTGTTAGCAAATATTTGTTTGTTACTTTCTTTTTTGCTACTGTTATATACTGAATTGAATTAGTTTTTTATTGCCTATATTTTTAATAAAATATGAATTTTCAATGCGTATTTGCCGTTTTGGATCAGCTCGGCGTACACTCACTGACATTTCGGACACTCTAAACAGGAAATAATGAATGCTGAAGTGTCAGATTGGGTTTTGGTAGTTAATATTTTATTGTTTGTTGCCCAGTTTTTTCTGCCTGTTCGTTTGATGTGTCTTTGTAGCATTTCATTATGCAAAGTTATTGAAATGCGTGTTATATTTGACGAATAGGTCAATGAACAAGACGCAAAAAGACATTTTGTTGGTTTTGAATTGCTTTTTTTTCGGGTTCAATTTTTTAGTTAAAATCTGCGACGCCTGTGGGTTATTAACTACGTATTACAGCTCAATGTAATCATAAATTTGCTTGGGGATATAAATCAAAAAAGTGGGTGTTTTTTGCTGTGAACAACGCTTATTAATCGTCCATACCTCAACGAGAAGGTTGGTATCAAGAAGGGCGGGTTAATAGGGATAGAGACAGTCATCTTCCCTTATAATCAATGTTTCTTTTGAGGTGTGATAGGTTTTACACTTTGAGAATGCGTAGTTTTATGCCTTCTGTGCAGATTTACGTAAGTTAAAATTTGCTTCAAAGTACGCGGTTTGCGGAACTGAAATCGTGTGCGACTAAAATAAGTGTTACAAAAACGGTCTAAATGTAAATCAAGAAAAAAAAATTTCATTAAGAAGCTGAAAAAAAAACTTTTTAACCATTATCAGGAAAGAAATATTGTAC